GTGGGGATGGTGTTTTTGGAGTCATAGGCAGCATTCCTCCTCATCCAAACACAGTGAGTTGAGTTGATGCCAAAGAGCTCGATTTTGGTCTCATCTGACCACAACACTTTCACCCAGTCTTCCTCTGAATCAGTCAGATGTTCAGTGGCAAACTTCAAACGGGCCTGTAGATGTGCTTTCTTGAGCAGGGGGACCTTGCGGGCACAGCAGGATTTCAGTCCTTCACGGCGTAGTGTGTTACCAACTGTTTTTTGGTGACTATGGTCCCAGCTGCCTTGAGATCATTGACAAGTTCCTCCCGAGTAGTTCTGGGCTGATTCCTCACCGTTCTCATTATCATTGAAACTCCACGAGGTGAGATCTTGCATGGAGCTCCAGACCGAGGGAGATTGGCAGTTCATTTATGTTTCTTCCATTTGCGAATAATCGCACCAACTGTTATCACCTTCTCACCCAGCTGCTTGGCGATGGTCTTGTAGGGTCTTTATCACAAGTGAGGGTTGGCAGTAATGCTGGTGTGGTACCGTGAAGAGCTGAGCTGGAAGGCAAAGCTTTAGTCTACCGATCAGTCTATGTTCCAACTCTCACATGTGGTCATGTGGTCTGTGGGTAGGGACTCAAAGAATCAGACGGTGAATGCAAGGAGCAGAAATGGGTTTCCTCCCTAGGGTGGCTGGATTTAGAGACAAGGTGTGGAATTCAGACATCCAGAGGGAACTTGGAGTAGAGCTGCTGCTCCTTCGCATCAAAAGGAGCCAGCTGAGGTGGTTCAGGCATCTGATTAGGACGCCTCCTGGGCACCTGGTAGGAGGCCTCAGGCTAGATCCAGAACATGCTGAAGGTATTATTATCTCCTCTGGCCTGGGAGCACCTCAGGGTCTGCCAGGAGGAGCTGGAGAACAACATCTGGATCGCCCTACTAAACCTGCTGCCTCTGTGACTTGACCCCAGATATGCGGGTGATCATGGATGGATGGAGAGTATAATAACAGATTTGTGGAGGGCACTGCAGGCAGCACCCCCACCCCTCTGGTGATGACTTTATCTTGAAAGTTCAAAAAGCAAACCACCTGTTTTTCCAAAAGTTTTACCAATGGTGGACCAAGACCAGTGTCAAAGCTGGGAAGCAGTACACTGGCAGCTTTTCCTTTTCCAGACTAAACACCTCTCCCCTAGCTGGAGGGACAAAGGTGATCTAATCTAACTGTAGGTGAGACCAACTTTGCCAAACGGCCAAAAGCTGTCACATATTATAGTGTTGTATGTAATAGAAAGATACCACCGAAGAAGAAAGTGGTCATCAGTCTTTTTGCTCTCTCTCACATGCACAGCTGGTTTGATGGTGTTTCCCTCTCCCCTCAGCATGAGAACTTGGTGATTCAGCCAGGCCAGTGCTGTCCTCAGTGTGTGTCCAACCCCTGTCTGTCTGCTGGGAAACAGTATCAGGTAGGCAGCCTGTGTGTGTGTGTGTGTGTGTGTGTGTGTGTGTGTGTGTGTGCCTGTCACTGCCGAGGATTTAGTGAAAACCCTTTGTGCTACAGAGCTTCTGCAGAGCCACTGTCTCTGTGTGTATGCTCGTTAGTAAAGCTTTAAGTTATGAACCAGTTAGCCATCGTCACCAGGTTGATGGTGGTTAACTGGTGTCGCTCCTAGTTTCCCACACCGGGTTTCAAAATGGTCCAGTTTTAATATAGTGAAAATGGGAATAAAATAATATCTGACTGTGTAATAATATTCTCCTTTGTTGGGAAATCATGAGATAATTTGGACTCTTCTGGCCTCTCTGAGGTTTTAATAGAACATTTTACTTTGAAAAGGTGAAAATGAAAAAAAATCATTTGGGTTCAAAGTTCATGTTTGCTTGTTTTTATAGTAGAAGTGATGCTCAGACATTTCACACCTGTTTGAAACTGTGTGTGTGAGAATTAGGAACACAATCATAACAATGTAAAAAGGTTTTAAATGAGATGAACTTATTATATCTGTAATATGTGTATGATTTCTGTATATCACTGTATAAATATGTTTTGTGACACCTATTAGTTTGTGTGTAGTGAATACATTCAAAGGTTAATACAACCTTCATGTTAAACATGTTCAGAGCTGTTATTCAGGCCTCTATAGATCAGTCTGTTTGTTCAGGTGAGAGAAAAGCCTGAACAAAACGTGAGCTTCACTGCTCTACAAAGATGTGATGTGAGCTACAGCTCATTATAAATCACTGACTTTCTCTTTTACATGTAGAACAAAGAAGCTTTCTTACAGGTTGGTGATGTTCAGAGTTCTACAAAGTGTTTGTCAGGGTTTGATTTCTTTGATTAATGCCTCTAATAAATGTTACATCAGTGAATAATAGCTTCTTTCTTGGGCAATAATGAAATAATTTGCAGTCTCTAAGCTTCAGTCAATATTTAATTGATCAGTTTAAGATGGAAGAGGAAGGATGGTCAGGTTTGGCAACTGTAGGACGTTGGCCCTAAATTTAAACACATTATATATTTAGGTGCTAAGATTTCCCACAGACCCCGCCCCCCCAACCCCTTAAAGGAAAACTATGCTGACACCTGATAACTGGTGCAGCATAGCAACAGGGTGTGTGTGTGTGTGGCACCCACTCTACCAAGATGTCTGATATCCACATATGGAACAGACGCTCACTGGATCCTCACTGAGCTTCCTACAAACAGTCTGTGATTCATTGTGTGTAAGAGTGTGTCTGTGTAGTGTGGAGATAGTCCAAGTGTGTGTCTGTGTGTTTCTTGTCAGCATGGCGAGCGCTGGCAGAAGAACGCCTGCACCACATGTGTGTGTGACCAGGGTCAGTCAAAATGCCACACACACACCTGTCAGCCCATCACCTGTGACAAGGTTGGTAGTCTCGCTGCTCTCCTTCACACACACACACACACATGCTGTGTTTTCATTCCTTGTGGGGACTTTACATTGACTTACATTCATTTCCTGTGGACTTATCCTAACCTTAACCATAACCACTACTTGCCTAACCCTAACCCTGACCTAAAATTCAGTGATTTCCTGGACGGTCGCGTCCCCATAATGTCAGTGTGTTAACAGGTTTCGGTCCCCATAATGTAAGTAATACACACGGACATTCAGTTCATCTTATACATTAGTGTGTGTTGAAATGAAGACATTTATCTATGAAAAACAGAAACGTCTTCTGCTCTCTGCGTGACACACACAGACACACACAGGCTGACATTTAATTGTTAATTGTATGCAAATCTCAGTTTGCAGCTTCCATTCTGCTCTGGCACTCGTGTTAGTGAAGCCAGAGAGGGAAATAAAACAGCCATGACACAACACCACAATACAATGCACAGTGTTGGCGAGTCCTGAAGTATATGTAATTAAACTAGTAGTTTAACTATGTTTTCTTTATCTACATTACCATTTGCATAGTGATTCAGGGAGTACAATTATTGTTACTGTTATTATTTTGCCATTTTGTGTAGTTAACTACTGAGACTACAAACAGTTTTGGGCCATAAAAAGAGGAAAGATTCTTTTATTTTAACTTTAACATGCTGCATGTGAGCAGCGTTTCAGTGTTGGCACTGACATTTTCAGAGCTGCCTGTTGGATAAAGACACTGAGAGATGGCTCATGTATCAAGTAAAAAGACAGGCCCATTATTTAGAGCAGTGTTCAAGTCGGTCAGATGCTCTAAAAATCCACATTTGTTTACAACAAAAATATAACTTTCCATGCAGTATGCAAATTTGACCTTTTTAACAGAGTAGTTTGAACTAGTTTTTCTAAGTGGCTTTAGTTAAATGGACTAGGTTTCTCCAAGTAGCTTGTCTGTAGTTCATCTTCTTCTAGTGTGAATTAACTGGGGCTTTCAAAGCTGTGCTGTCAAAGTAGCTTCAACAACACTGACAATGGACAAGTAAAATAAAGGACTGTAAAAAAAAGCCTAAAATATTCAGTGGACAGAAGAGTCAAAATTGTGGTGCAGTTACACTGCAGTGGACCTTTGACCAATAACGTGAACTGTCTCCACGAGATACAGAGGCTCAGAACAGTTACAGTAAATATACAGTTCACCTCTCAGCACTTTCATATAAAGTCAAAGAACTGGCTGATGGTCCCTTAATAATGCAACACACGTGCTCTCCTTTATCCTCTTCTCTTATCTCCTTCTCTGCTGAGACACACACAAAACAGCATTGTTATAAGCTCCCTGGATTTGCTTTGCGTTGTCTCACAGCTCAGTGTGTATTCCTTCATTCCCGTCATCTGTACTGAACATGAAACCCAAAAAAATCCAAACCTAAAGCCTCTCTACTGATGCCTTGCAGGGTCAGACCAAAGTGAAGCATGCCGGTCAGTGCTGTGAAGAATGTGTTGCTGCCAAAGGAGGCTGCTTGTATGAGGGCGCTGTGCGTTACCATGGAGACATGTGGAACGGCACAGGCTGCGAGTTCTGTAGCTGCAGCAGGGGTCAGGTTCTGTGTCAGAGGGCCGAGTGCGGCCGCGTCGAATGCCCACAGGTGAGCCTGAACGAAAACCTGGCCTTATGTGTGGGAACTCCAGATCCCGTTATTCAGGGTGCTGGCCTTCCGGAGGTAAACACAAAACAACAACAACAAAACAGGCAACATTTAATATCTGAATATATCAGTAAAACAATAATCGAATCATAACAACAATCAAAAATCTGAAAAGGTGTTTAGATGCAACATGATTCCTATTGAAAAACATCAGGTAGCGTAGCATTCTGTGCCTTTTACTGTCTCTAATCTCTGTTGAACATTAATTTTACGTCTTAAGTGTGTAACAGGTGATGACAATTCAGTTTTTTCTCCTGACAGTGCAAAGAAAGATGTTGTTCTCACTTATGCTTTAGCCTTTTATATATCTTTGGATGTTGTTTCATTTATTTATTTATTCCTTTAGTATTTAACCTCAACCTGCACGTGACTGCAGATGGAAGTCAGTGAATGTTTACGGCCCATCCATTTCCTATACTGCTCATCCTGTAGAGGGTCACATGGGAGCTGGAGCGGGGTACACCTGGACAAGTCACCACACACAGATACAGACAACCACTCGCACTTGTATATAGAGTCACCAGTCGCCCTAACCTGCAGGTCTTTGGACTGCGGCAGAAAACCGGTGGCACAGGGAGAACATGCCGACTCCACTTGACTGCAGTGTTTGAACCTAGAGCTCACAGTGCTAACCGCTGCACCACCGTGCCACTTTAATGTGTATTGTCCTTGGAAAAAAATAAATGAAGTGAAACTGCACATGCAGTTTGCACTAATGTACAGTCACTGAATGTGACCTCGGTTGTACTGGCTGCACTTAACTTGTATATAGATCCATATAAGCTGTTTTTTCCAATAGGATCCACATGCTTAACTTTTTCTCTCCTGGTTCTGAAACCCTTGCCCCCAGAATGCAGCATGCTAGCACACAGAAATCTCATTTCCTGGCCTTCAAATGGGCCACCAGAAAGTTAATGGAAAATGTCTCAGTTACTTTATTCACAGTTTCCTACATTTGCCACAGTGACATTTAACAGTTGTGATGAAAATATCTTCAGCCGTCTCCAGGAGGGTGGCTGGAATGAGAGGACGGATATGAGCTTGGCTGCCTCCATCACAGATAATTCACTCTGTTAAAATGGCATAAATTGAAAGAGAAGATGAAACCCCAGTGATCGCTGTGGACACTTGCACCAGGACCTGTCAGTGAACTCCAGAGAATCTGACTTACACTAAACCTACACCAAGCTACAAGGCATTCCTTGAATGCATCACATCTTCTTTCACATTTTGTCAGTAATGTTGAATCAGCTTCAGATGAACACAACAAAAGCACGAGCATGTGACGACACAGTCCATTTAGGAATGTAGGGCGTTGGATGTGACAAAACCAAGAATTTATCACGTTTCCCTCAGTTACTGTTATCCCCCTGAATGACCCATTTTGGACTTGGCACCAGGTTGACTCACTACATCTGATGTTTGTTTTTTTACGTCACAGATTTAATAATATCCTTTGCCATGACCAAATAAACCCTCATTAATCATTCTCTGTGGCATTAATTATAGCTGGTCAGTGTCATTAGCTGTAAGTAGCATAACTGGCATTTTTCCAGTTATGAATTGATGAAGGTCACTCTGCTAAGAACATAAGAGCTGTGCGGTTTTCACCCTGTGTGGGTCAGTCGCAGAGATCGGCACTGGGGTACTGTGCTAGTTGGAAGGTGAAAATGTACTACAGTGGTACGGTGACAGCATTTTTAGAAACAGAAATTTGCGTTCATGAGATATTGCATGAGGGCAGTGGTTAGCACTGTCGCCTCACAGCAAGAAGACTCTGGGTTCAAGCCCAAGCCGACCCGTGGCTTTTCTGTGCGGAATCTGCATGTGGGTTCTCTCCGGGTACTCCGGCTTCCTCCCACAGTCTAAAGACATGCAGCTTATTTGACTGACGACTCTAAATCGCCTGTAGGAGTGAGTGTGGGTGTGTGGCTGTTTGTCTACATGTCAGCCCTGTGATAGACTGGCGACCTGTCCAGGATGGACCCCGCCTCTCACCCAGGGTCAGCTGGGATTGGCTCCAGGCCCCCTGCTGCACGTTAAGGCCTGCAATGACTATTTTTGTAGTTTTTATTATTACATCTCTCTACAAATGAAATGAATGATCTGAATCCAATCAGATTTTTTGTTTTTAGGGGTCTGAGCTTGTTCACCTGCCGGGGAAGTGCTGCCTGGAGTGTTCCTCTGTGAAACCTGCCTGTTTATATGAGGGGAAATCCTACAAGGTACTTCTATCAGAAATGTACATTGACTATGAGCTTGTTTGTACATAAACACTAGGAGAAATCCAAACTGTGGTGTGAGACAGACTCTAGTCTCACTGCAGAGGAGGCTGCTACACAAAAAACCTAATATGTCAGTGTTAAACTGAAAGAATTTATACATACAGTATATATATAAACCCAAAACACTGAGAACTTCAGCTGCAGCATGACACCATGTGTGTTTTTCAGGACAGCTCTCAGATTAGTTTGGGCTGTTTAGCTGTTTAGCATCTCCTTGTTATTCTGGTCCATATCTTTGAGGGGGTCATCTGCTTCATTATTCATAGGCTAGTCCTGGAAACCTAGAACGCAAAGGCTTTAAATTTTCATATTTTCAGCCCAGGGTGGATGCTCATGAAATACTCCAGGATGGTCAGCCAAGGCCAAGAAGGCTGTAGAGAGAGTTGTTATCCTGTTTGAATAGATTTCCCTTTGTCTCCCTGCAGAGTTCTTCTTACCAGTAGTAAACAAAACAGATGGGCACTGCATACCTATTACTCACCGCCACGCACCAATACATTAGTGTCTCTGCTTCTGAGTTGTCTCTCTGAAGAATCTTGTCTGGAAGGTTAAAGCAGCAGCAGCTTTGTGACTCTAGATAATTAATGGTTCCAGTTGATGCTTAGTACTTTCGTTGGTCAGTGAGCAAAGCTTTGACCCAGTTCTGTGCCCTTAAAGTCCGTTCTCATCTTTGAGCTTTGACCTGTCGCCTGCTGAGTGACTAGCTCACCTCATTTTGCTTTGAAAATGAATATAATGATGAATGTCTTTAAACGCTAACAGCTTATTAGCATTCAGTGAGGTGCCTGGTCTGTGTGGCTTCCTTTTTAATTGTGATTCAGCCTCTTCAAAGTTAAAATCCTCTGTTGTTTTCTCCATCCTCTGTAAATGTCTTTACCAGACTTTATGCATAATAAGAGCTTTAAACTCTGCTTTCACCAGGTTTTTCTTTTCCCGCTCTCCTCTTGGCTCCTTCCCTGTCTCCCTGCCTTTCGCCTCTTGTTTCAGGACCTGGCTCGATGGACTGATGGTGGCTGCAGGGAATGTGAATGCCGCGAGGCCCGGGTGACTTGTTATCTGCGCTCCTGCCCCACCTGCCCACCAGGCACCTTGGCCGTCACCCAGGAGGGCCAGTGCTGCCCCGAGTGTCACCAAGGTATGTTGCTGCAGAGGCTGCTGGGTGCAGCTGTGTGTTGTCTGTCAACTAACACTTGTTGCTTTTGACATCACATTGATCACAAAGGACAGACTTACATTCAACCCTTTGTGATCACATTGAATGGAAGTCTGTCCTTCATCCATCCATCTTCGTCCGCTTTATCCGAGACCTGGTTGTGGTGGCAGTAGTCAGAGCCGAGCCCCCCAGACTTCCATCTCCCCACACACCTCCTCTAGCTCCTCAGGAGGAACCTCAAGGCGTTCCCAGGCCAGCCGGGAGACATAGTCTCTCCAACATGTCCTGGGTCTGCCCTGAGGCCTTATCCCGGAGGGACATGCTCAGAATACCTCCCCAGGCGTCCAGGGGGCATCATAAACAGGTGCCCAAGCCACCTCATCTGGCTCCGAGCTCCTCACGGGTGACTGAGCTCCGCACCCTATCCCCAAGGGTGCGCCCAGCCGCTCTCTGGAGGAAACTCATTTCTGCCGCTTGTATGCACGATCTCATTCTTTCGGTCATGATCCAAAGTTCATAGGTGAGGGTAGGAACGTAGATCGACTGGTAAATTGAGAGTTTCGTCTTACGACTCAGCTCCTTCTTCACCACAACAGACCGGTACGGAGGCCACATTGCTGTGGCCGCTGCACCGATCTGTCTGTCCTTCATTTAACAGTGATTTGTTTTTAAAGGCTATACTTTCCTTTGGTGTTCATTTAAAACTCCTGCATGAATAATTCTGGGCTGACAGTCTTTTTAAGCAACTTCAAGGAAGAATCAGGCACCACAAAGTCTAATGTACTGGTATTTTGTGCTTTTTTCCTTTTTTTGTTGCTTTTTTTATCTTTTAATCTTATCATATATCTTTCCATCTATGGATTTCATACATTTGACAGCAGTGGCCCAGAGAACGTGTGTTTACAGGCTTAAAAACACCACAAACTACTGAAAAGTATGTGAATGCTTCGTTGCTTGCTGTCAAATCACATTGTTTTTGTAGCTGCATTGCATTTTAGTCAATTTTCTTCTTCTGTGGGTGTAAACATTTCTATTTGTGTCTTTGATGGATTTCTGTCTGTTTTATGTTGTTGATGCTAAGTTGGGACCCAAAATGAAGGTGTCACTTTGCTGTGGGATTGTCAGTCTTGATGCTTTCTGCTTTTTGCCTTCCTTGTGTTGAAGGAAGTGTAAAATATGCTTCACAGTGAGCTGTGTTTTGCTTCGGCCTGGGTGTTTGTGCTCAGACTTTTCCTTGAAAACTTTAATTAACATCAAACTGTTCTATGATCTGAAGCCCCATATGATGGGAGAATTAGGGCATTACAGCTAAGGAATATGCACTGACCTCTAAAAAAAGGTGTGAGTGGATGTGCCTTTATTTGATGTCTTGCTTTTATCTTTTATTGTGAAGCACTTGTTGCAACACCAACTCTATAGAGAGATGGCACCTGTGTATAAATAAACTTTATCAAATTGCTAAAAATACTTCTTATGTACTGTAAACGAGAAGCTGGCTGAATAAAGGACAGAGGGGGAGGGAGGCTCATAAACAATGTGGGAGAGAAAGTTTATGTTCAGCAGTCAGAGGGTGAAATCCATGTCGTCCCTGTGGAGGAGGGCGCTGCTGGTCGAGCTGCTTTGTATGGACAGAAGCTGAGTTGATATAAACTGTCCTCAGTTTACCACTGCTTTTATTCTTTTCTTAAGATTAAACCTTTATTTATAAGGATACTTTAATTCAACACGTACTTTTCCCCCGTAATGCCCCTCTTCACATTTACATACAGTTCTAGACATTAATATCAACATCAGGTACAAATTCTGTTTGAAGAGGAGGCAGTGAGGAGTTTGATGTGCTTTCCTTTTATTTTTCAAAGAAAGAAGGCGTCGTCTGAAGCGGAGACATTTCTTGTGCAGTTTAAAAAGAGCAGAACGGTTCAAGAGTTTAAAAAATGTGAAAACACTATGAAGACGCTGCAGCTCCTCGCCTCCCTGTGAGCAGGGAGTCACATGGGATGAAAAATGACTTTCACTTAGTTGGCCGGTTTGTCATGGCAGGATATGCACACCTATTTAATAATGAACAAATGCAAAATGTGCTTTTATTGTAACTGTAGTGTTGACCTCATGTGCAAATAAAAAACCCATCCACTGGGTTTCTAAAGCTTTTCCTGCAAAGGGAAACACTACAAATTAAGAAGGAAAGTGCTGTCAAAGGCGTTAAATTGTGGCTCTAAGCTAATTGCCCCCAGTGAGCCACACAGTCCCATCCCAGCACTACCTCTTTGCAAAAGCTGATCCATCTGTCTTATAAAATGGGAATACAAACTGTCAGCAATTAGAGCTAAACAAACTTATGGGCAATTAAACAGTGGGATAACATTGTTGGCTTTATGAAGACTTATAATTAAGTTTGGCTGCACGATTGAATAATTACAGTTGGGCAGGAGGGACATTTTTTCATTTCACCGTACAAATGCACTGTTTGAGGCTACAATAGTTTAATGAAGTTGGACTGGATGAGGTTGTGTTCCCATTTAGCCTGTGTCTCTGTGTGTTCTCTGTCCCTCGACATCCTTCCTGCTCTCTTAGGTTTTACTGGGTAGAGACTTTCTCTGCAGCAGCATATTAAAATGTTTGAAAGCTAAAAAAACAACTGTATATTCTCAAGCAAACAGACAATGTAATTAGCCCAAGTAAACAACAGGGGAAACCAGTAAAATGTAATATCCTGGAGCAGCTGTTGGTTTTGCATCTAAGGGCCAAGTGTGTTCAGTAGGAAACGCTGCTAAAAACTGTGTATATTTTAGCAGATTAAATGATTAATTGCTTATTAATGATATTCACAGTGGATGAAGTTCATATGCAGGTGTTTTGTAGTTGTATGGCAGCGCTGCGTTTCATTGATTTGGTACAGCAGAGAGTCGGGGTGTGGTGGTCTGGATGGTTATTGACGATACCAGTGGTTCATCTCCTAGGGCTGCTTCTCATACCTTTTAAATGATCGTTCCTTGATCTTCAGTCGACCACGACGGTCCAAGGCTCTGATGACCGCGGAGTGCAGAGGCTGCCGGTGGAGCCTGGGTGATGATCCGCGAGTGCATACTTATCAGAAGTCTTTTATGGATCGACACGCCCCTTTATTGGAAATCAGCTGTTGATTGGCGCTTCAGGTGAAGGATCAGAGGAAAGGATGTCTCATTTCCTTGATTCCTCTCTCCTTTCATTGCAGGATTGATGCAAGGAAAAGATGCAAGTGTGGAAAACGTGGACCCTTTTAAGAGGCTTGGGAAGCAATGTAGAAGTCACTGTTGACATTTCTAATATTTAACCAGGACAAGTGCTTTTGGGATCATGCATGGGTAAATCATCTGAGAGGCTTGTGCAGTTCCTAGTATAACAGTACACAAAAATCACAGTAGGTACCTCAGTTTTTGAGTCATGGTCTGGTTCATGTTTGGTGCAGTAAGAAAAAAGCAAAACAATAAAAAAAAAATTTTAAAAATAATTTAAAATGAAACATAAATAAAATAATAGTAGTAGTTTGCTGCAGTGTTCTATTTTTTGTTGTTGTACTTTGTTTTATACAAGTGCTCCAATAGCCAGGGAAAGGGAGTTTAAATGATGAAGCTGTGTTTGCTCTTTTTTTCCTTGCAGCGATGATGTTCACATCACTGTGGTGCTGTTTCAAATGAATGTGTGTTGCCAAGATTGATCACCACGGAACAAACATATTAAGTGGCACACAGGAGCATTGCTGTATTTCACCGGGAAGCTGAAGTGTTCTTCTAGCTTTGGCCCGGGGCGGTTGTGGCTCAGGAGGTGGAGCGGTTGTCCCCCCCAACAGGAAGGCTGGTAATTTGCAACAGGTTTAGTAAAAATCCCCCCAAGTGTCAGTGATAACTCTCAAGTCCGCGTCTGAGGTCATTTATCTTTCACTGTTAATCACCCGAGGGATTCTGAGGATGGCCTAAAGTCCATCCTCCTGTTGCCAGGTCCAGCACACACTAGTTTTATAGTAGCATGCAGTTAAGTCAATTAAGAATCTGAATCAGAATCATCTGTATTGGCAGGTGTGTCTCACTATTATTTCATCAGTTTTAATTGACAAAATTTGGACGAATTGAATGATTGTGATCCGATTTAGAGCTTTATTGTCTCAGCTGAAGAATCTCATGACCGAGCTTTTGGCAGCAGACTGGATGGGTGACGCACTGAATGGCGCACTGCCTTTTTACTGGGAATCGAGGTGTGAAATTACCATGAATCACTAGCCAAATGCTGGTAAATGTTGGCTGCTGTTGTTAAATCCGCCGCTGTGGCAGGCAGCCAGACCCAGTTAGAGGTGAATTTTGTGTTAACAGTCAAATTGGCACATACTTTTGCAGCGATGCTGGATGACACCATTCTTGCTAAATATTAACACATCTGCGAATTCACACTGAGAATTCTGTCTTGCGGCGTTTGTCATAATCAGGTGAAGTCGTGCAGTTAATTGTGCCTGGATCCACACCTCTGGATCCTTGTTTTCATCCAGCATTGCTGTTAATCACGGTCTGCAGTTTTTAATTTTGTGCTTCAGGGATTCTGGCTCACTGTGCTTGTGAGGAAATTAAAGCACAGTGTGTGAGCATCAAGGCAGCTTTCTGTAAACACCGCCTTGTATCAAAGAGTGATCGCTGAACTTGTGCTGTATTGTGGCTTTATCCTCCAGAGTGAAAATCCAATTCTGGTTCACTCCCAGCTGTCAAAGCAAACAAGGAATGCTCTTGTAGCTACTCAGGTGGAGTGTTGTATTAAAATATACTCATTTATTTTCACTGTTTAGCAATCAGGAATGATTTGTTTGCAGACGTAGTTCAGGATAAGTGCAGAGAGTGCATGAAGGAGGACTTCCATAGTGAACACCAGAATATACTGTATGCAGGAGATTGGAACGTTACCACCAGCTGAAACACTGGCCATAGCTGAATAGAGAGCTAAATACTAAACTGGTGCTGTAGTTGCCAATGAGGCTGTCACTGAGCCAGAACGTGCACTGCTGAGGACTTCGCACACGCTCTGATCTTTGCACTCAGCTCTAGTTTTTCTCTCAGTAAGATCAACAAATGTGACAGATGGAAATAAAGTGGACAGAAAGAATGAAGCTGTAAAGAGGAGAGAAGGCAGAAAATTAATAATGAATGGTTAAAAGGAACGATGGAGCTACTTAGAGCAGTGTGTTCTGGCCTAATGACAGTCCTATTGGTCATTTAGGTTCAGGTCTTGCCTCCTTCTTACTCGTGGGCTCTCAGCGACTCTTTTTTCTCCCATTTTTCTAGTTTTACACCTTCTCCTTGCCTTGTGCATTGTGTTCCAGTCTTCTTCCATCCTTCTGCAACATTAACCACACCCCCAGGTCATGTTCCAGTCTTCTTCCATCCTACTGCAACATTAACCACACCCCCAGGTCACATTTTTACAAGCAGCTAACACTTTATTTACTCAGTGAATGGAGCAATCGCAGTGCAATCAAGTGCAAGCAGCCAGAATATTGTTTGACAAGAGGCTGCATGTATTCACTTGTTCTGCAACCCAGATAGTTTTACTGCTGTCATCCCCGTTTCTGTAGTTTCAGGCACTGACAGGGGTTTTAGGGAGGGAGTTGTGTGAGTTTATGCTGTAACATTTTTCATTTTTAAGACTTAAATTTCAGAATTTGAAAAGCCATGTAAATAAAACTAGAAAAAGAAGAAAAGTTGTGTCACTGATTTGTTTTTATGGGACTTTCATTCCGTCTTTGTTCATCTGCTACATCTGGACTGTGCCTGCTGGTAAAACTAGATTACATCCTACTGGTGGTTTTCACTGCAGCTGCACAGTTTGTTTTGTGGAAAGTGTTTGTTGGCCATCGTGTCAGATTTAATGTTGACACAGCAGTTTTTGCCGAGTGTATTTTAGCAGTAAATGTACTTTGAGAGTAAGATTTTGTGGGCAGCTTTTACTTTTTCCTTGTTACTGTGTAAAGGTGTTTTTCAGATCCTCAGGATGTGCATGAGTGTTGTTTTGTATCCTTTATTTCTATATTTACCTACACGCTGCTGGTACCACATTGCAAAGCTCGAGTCATGGGTCACCTAGTTCTGACTTTACTTGAATGTAAGAAATAAAACACTTCAGCCTACTGTAGTTCCAGACTTCTGAATCCTTGCTCACATCTTAGGTTTTGTTTTTGATTTACTGTATGGTGATTTTTCCAGATGGAAAATCAGCTGATCAATCAGAGCGTGGTTGACAGGCTCAAATCTTATGTCGGAGCCAAAAGATAGCAGCAGAAAAAATGGTGACAAGCCTGGATGAGATGTAGTTTTGCAGGTAGTTGTACTGTAGGGGCCTAATTGCTGCAGCTGAAGTAACAGTAACCAAGTTAATGGTTGCTGTCAACAGTAGTAACCTACAGTATGACTTGGGTGTCTGGATATATTCAAGTTTGTTGTTTTTTAACATTTAGGTAATGAAAATATTGTTCACTCCCTGGCTTGCTCAGTGAAAAATGACTCTGAAGTGCAGTTGGTCAACACATTCTAGAAACAGGCTTGTGCTCATAGGTTGTTGGTAAAATGTTGCCCAGCTGGGAATCGGTGTGGGCAGGGGAAGTACTCGAGCACTTCATCACGGAATGCACTGGTGGAGCTGCCGGCCGACAGCAGAAGACTGTGGATGTGCTCTGAATTTCCCATTAGGGCACATTTTACATAGTTAAACTTGTGTACCACTACTAACATAGTCTGACTGTGAAACCAGATGGGCTTTTTGTTCAAAGATTTAGTGTGTATGTGTGATTTTACTAAGTTAAATCTGTCTGTCACCTCTAGCTGAGTTTCTGTGCAGAGCCAAACATGTTGGATAGAATTTGCATAAAATAAATGTCAAAATGTGTCAGTGAGTGACAGCGACTCCAAGTCTTCAAGTAGCTTGCGCCCACCACCAGAGTCTGCCCATATGTATGGAATATAATTAGCATGAAATTGAGTCTAAAAATGCTTGTGTGTGTTTGTGCTGTTCTGTTTTCCAAACCTCTAAACATAAAGTAAATGTGTTTTCCAGTGCAGTGCCATGCAGACTGCCTGTCGTGCTCGGTGACTCCTGACCACTGTGAGAGCTGCAGGGACCCAAAGGCCTTCCTCCATCAGGGCCGCTGTCTGTCCGTCTGTCCAGCTGGCTACTACTCCGAGGGACGCGTATGTGCAGGTAGGACTGTCTCTGAAATACTGCATATACAGTATGTACGTCAAACACGTTACTCAAAACTGTCCCTTATCTTGCATTTATGTCACAATCACACACGGTGCCTTGTGCATAAATTAGCATGCTGTTACAATACTAGTGCAGGGTTTATCACAGTTAGTAGTTAATGAAGGCTTTGTCTTTCCTTGCTTGACTTTACTCGGTAAGGATCAATACAGCGGTCAGCATTTTAGCTTTCCTGAAAAATAAACCTGTGATCTGCGTAAGCATTTGCACAGCTTCTTCTCAGAATAATAACTCTGTCACCTCCGGACACACACAAGTCAACAGCAGCTACTGTAACCAGCACAGCACATGTTCCTGTGATGGTGATATTTCAAACCAAAGGTAGACGTAAGACAAGATCAGCACAGTTCATGACTGATGGCTCCTATAGTTCAGGTCACTGTGGGTAACATTATTCTGGTGACCATAAGGAATCCCTGTAGAGGGTCCCTGTGGTCCACATCACCTGAACACCACAGTTAACAGACTGCTGGCTGTAGAGAAAGGAAACTTTGTATTTTTATGGAAACAAAACTTTGAACACTGTGTAAAATCCACATTCTCCATATAAACCATGTAAAGCCACCAGACACAGACATAGCCCAGCTGCCAGCGCTACAGTAGCAGCCAAATCTTTAGCTTGTACTTCAGAGACATGAAGAGGAATGTGTAGCTTGTGCATAGATGTAGTCAGTGTCATAGTAACTGTTCCACAGTGCTTCCCCGAGTTGAAGTCCTCAGTCCAGGAGAACGAACAAGCTCTCAGCCATGCACGTAGCACAGCCTTCCATCAGATCACACAGGAAGATGATAGTCAAACATCAACCATAAACAGAAGGGAAGTATAAAACTAACAACAGTCAAGGTACAGTAACGTTACAAAAATATGAACCATGCAATGAATGCATTAAAATATCTGTATAAATAAAATAATAAAATGGATTAAATTTGGATCTCACTTTTTGTCCAGATGATAAGACTCTATTACACAGAATTTTATTTTGAGTTATTAAAGCAGAAATGAATGATGAATGATGGCTTTTGCTCCAAACGAACACACTTCCTGTTCGTTATCTACTTCCAACACTGACACGGCTTATGAAGTCCAGTCCAGGCTGTCAATATGCACAATGGATCTTTTCATTTTTTGTAAAACCTAAATTTGCAGTTCATTCTTTTCAACATGCTGAAGGTGAAAACCTGATAGTTTTGTTTCAGATGTGTGCACTGAAATGGAATCCTGTCCCACTTAGATGATATTTATTTGATCATTTCTCTCTTTCATTAATTATATACTTTAAAAAGTGAGACCAGACACCATAAAACTTCCCTTGGTAGTTATCATTTGTTGCATCTGAAGTTTTAACCAGTCAGGGAATGCAGGATTTGTCGGACTCTTCAGTGCTGGAAGCACCAATAAAACCTGCCGGGGCAGGTCTCCTGTTTGTTTGCATATCCCTGGCTCCTAATAAGCACAGCTGGGGAGGTTCTGGCAGCGGCACCTGCAGCCACTCTGCAGTCATTCTGATTACTCGCTTCCAAAAAGGAGAAACAGAAGCACAATTCCACGTCAACTGCAGAAAGGTACCTGCTTCCTTTCGACACCTCTAACAGCAGTGTTCATCCATCAGACCCAGAACTGGGGTGTAATAATACTGTGCCCGTGTAGAGTTCTGTAGAGTGCACAGTTTATTTTCTGGTCCTTTTACTAAACCTTTGTCAGCAGTGCACTGGACACAGACTGAGTATGAATGTGATTCCACTGATCAAACCAGCTGTAGTCCAGAATATGCTCACTTTTAAAATTTGTTTTACTTGGTGCATGTGGGCAGCTAAAAATAAAGCTGCAAACCAGGCCTTTGACTTTTAATAACATCGCCTCGCCCCTCAGAAGACCTCCAGCTTCTTTGACTTGTCTTTCTGTTTTTGCCTTGAGTGTGTTTGAACCCCCACCGTCTATTGACATCGTCATCATCACCCCATATCTCCACATCTTCTCCTGGCTTCTTCTTTCCATCTGCTATCTCTGTCTGTGTGGGTGGCTGGAGCTTTAACAGGTGTTTATTTATTCTCTTGAAATTTCTCATTAAAAAGCTCTCAGTCTCAGTTCTGTGCCCTGGTTGCCTTATTATGCTCATGGAGGTGGGCTAAACATAGAACCATCATTAAGAGCAGGGTGTGTTTAAATCACAGTACGCTCTCTTTATGTAATGTGGTCAAATTTAACCTGCACTGCCTTATTTGTTAATCTGTATTTACATTTTCATAAACATTTGCAGGTTTGCAACTTTGTTTTAGGAGGTGAAATGAAATAAAAGTCAGTGGAAGATTGATTTAGTTCCTACCAGAGCTTTGCACTGCAGACAAACCAGAAAAAGTTTTTAACATGAAATACTTGTGATAATAATAATAATAATGCACAGTCTTCTGCAGTCCGACGTGCATGTTTACAGAGGATTTAAAACACGAGGGCCACCGCTCTGTAACTGTACCACAGTGATCTTTACTGTCACAGGAGGAACATTTCTGTTCTTTTAGTCCAGATGTCCTCGTTCTCTCCTGAAAATCATTACAGACCAATTAAGTGACTTTTTGCTTTCCCCCCTTTTTCAGTATTTGCTTAATATGTGCAACGATTGTGCTGACAGGCACCTCGTGTTCACTAGGGTTTCCTAGGAGAAACCTCCACAGTCCAAGAACATCCCCGTCAGGTTTCTTCGCCTTCCTCTTCGAGCGAGCTAAGCTATGACAGGCATCCTGAATCCATGAAGATAGCTGAGGAAGAGAGAATAAGTTTTTGAAGCGAGTGACACTCAGACTCTTCCTTTCTCTTCCTCTCCTCCCCCACAGCCTGCCAGTCGACGTGTGCCACCTGTTCCAGCGGGTTGGGCTGCCAGTCCTGTGATCACCCCCTGCCCCGGCACGACCACTCACACTGTCGCCGTGAGTATCATAGGATGTCATGTGACTTAATGTGCCCTCATTATGAGGATCAGAATGATATTTTGGCTCCAATTCAACCACTTGCACAAAATGGGATGAGAACTCTGGGGAAGATGAGCTTCCATCATGACGTTTAGCACGCCGAGCTAGTAGTGGAATGTTTTCATTTGGCTGGAAGCTTTTCCAAAGTAGTGTTAAAATGAATAAGCTTAGGTTAGTTCAGGCAATATTTACCCATTATATGGTTTCATTTGTCACAGTTCATCTTAAATTGGAGACTACCAAAGCTAAATATGCCCGATTCAGTTACTTGCAAGGTTTAGTAGATCTTAGTAAAGGACCGTTTTGTCATATAAGGATTTGATTCTCAATTATCATTAATAGTCACATATTACAGATTATACATTTCTTATGTATCAATATGTCAATTTTTATGTTATTACATCTTTTTTACAAGCTTATGGAATCATATATTTTGTGAACTAATTTAACAGAAATGCAGTACCTTGTCTCTCTCCCTATCTGAGTTGCTGGTGAGTGAGCGGACTGAGAGTTGCAGCGTTCATTTCAGTGTGACTGGTTTTCTGCCTCTTTGTGCTTTTCTTCTTTTTCACACAGTTTTTCTTTTGTTGGTGCATTTGTCTGAGGTGGTGAAGTGTTTGTTGGTTGTGTTTGCTACCAATGCCAAGGGGTGATATGCCTGTTGTGGAAGGTGGTATGGAGTTTGAGAAGTTGACACGCCAACACGCCGTGGAGCTAGTGCCGGTGTACAGTAGTACAGGTTTTTGATTCCTTTAGCCAGCCAGCTGGGTGTGACAGCACAGGAAGCTTTGAGCATGTTTCCTCAGTGCATCACAGGTGGATGCTGTGTCTCACTTCTGTTTTGGTCTATAGCTGAAGAATGGACAGAAGATTATTCATTCTCTATGATCTCGGACTTTTTTGAGATTAGAAGTTTCCAGCCAGGTTTTACTAGGATTGTTACAAGAGTGTGGTGTGAGCAAATCTTTTTACATGGCAGGTTGGGGGCTCAGTTATCTCTGGATGAGCTACATGCAGCTCAGATGAGTCTACAGAATAGCAGAGTGCCTGGGATAGATGGACTTCCTGTTGAGTTTTATGAATCTTTTTGGTCCTTATTGGGTGAAGACCTGTTGGAAGTTGTCAATGAGAGTTTGGAAAGGGGGCGGAGGGAGGGCAGTTATTACTCTGTTGCCCAAAAAGGGGGACCTGCAGGAACTGAAAAACTGGACGGCAGTTTTTCTGCTCTGTGCAAACTATAAGATCTCGTCCAAAGTATTGGCAGTTAGAAAGAAGGTTCCGGGTTTGAGCCCCGGCCGACCCGGAGCCTTTCTGTGTGGAGTCTGCATGTTCTCCCTGTGCCTGCGTGGGTTCTCTTCGGGTACTCCGGCTTCCTCCCACAGTCCAAAGACATGCAGCTGAGGTTGACTGGCAACTCTAAATTGCCCGTAGGAGTGTGTGTGGGTGTGTGTGGTTGCAGATTTTAAAAATGGTTCCAGTCAATTTGTAGATTCCCTCAACCCTGTAAGTGTTTCTTTAGACAATGCCTCAGGACACACTGTGTACAGGTTGGCGGTAAAGAGTAAATCAAGGAAAATGAACGGCCGCAGTGACAGCGCATGGAGAACTTATCTGGGATTCAGTCCTGAATTCAGACCAGCTTGGAGGAGACTTACAGGGGAGGATCCTCCATGGTATTGTAACTCTTAACACATTCATTTCTGTTATTAATGTCGGTCTTTCACTGTTTTTAGTGCGATCGTCCAACAACAGTGTCTGTGAGTAGGAGGAAGAAAGTGGAAGAGTTCTTAGACGTTGATGTTAGTCTTGTATTTGTGAAGATGGTGAGATCCAGATTGTCAACAGATTTCAGCTTTTACAAAGCAAATTAAGGCCTAGAGGTTTCCTGTTAATCTTGGGGTATGAGGGGGTGCTGTGCTCTGTAGTGGAGGGGCAGTTATTACCTGGGTATGTGCTGATGTAAATTTGTGATTACAGTATGTCCAAAAGTTACATTATGTTTTTTTGAACAGTACATATAATAGTAAATAAAGGCTCCACAAGTTCAATCCTCTCTTTCATTTCTTACAGAAAATCTCAATCCTAACATCTCTCAGTCGACTGCATTCAAAGCAGCCTCCTGGCAGTGCGGCCAAAAGTGCATCCACAGTTCAACAAGCAGTGGGACTCAGAATAACTTTGAGTGGATGTTCCAAATGAATATTTTAAGTGATGAAGGAGCGAGCTCTCTGGAGTCTAAGTATTATGGCTTCAGTATTGTGGCTTTGCTGACTAAGTCCTTCCTTAGAAAAAGCAAAGAAAGTCATAGTTTAGAAGCACAGCAGCAACCAAATGTGCTCACGTAATGTGCT